ACATGCTCATGCTTCGAGATTCTCTATGTGATGTATGGAAAGAGATATTGAAACTAGAGAAACAGTTTTATCGATTGCTTGTCTCTGAATCGTTTACCATTTCTCCCAATCGATAAGTTGTTTGATAACTAGATCTGATTAAAGGATGTTATAGTGTTTTTGCTTGAAGTTAAAAAAGATGAGTTGGACAGTAGAATGGATTTTGCCAGAGGTATTAAGCATTTGAAAACATCTAAGAAAATGTTGGAGATGGGTTTATGAGGTAAGAAGGGTTCTCAACATCTCTCGTAAAGCCTCATCAAAAGAGATTTTATTTGGAATGTCTTGTCCTAACCATTGAAAAGAAACAACGTTTTTTGGTTTATAGATTGATTGGAGATTTTTTGGATCAATGTTCTTGTGATGGTGAATCTAGTGGCCTTCACATTTTAGGGTTTATCAGAATGGGATAGGAGATTTTGTAATTTTTTGTTCAAATGGGATAGGAGATTACTAATGAGATTGATTTTCCTTCTTCAATAGAAAACCTAAGAGAGAGATCATTTACAATATAACATATTTTCGTAAAAATCAAATTGCTCTTCACATTTTTATGAAAATATCGTTAATCTAATCCCGATCAACCTTGTCATCCAACAAATCTCTTACATGTGGTCATCATATTTTGTTAATCGTCCTATCCACAATGCAATGTCCATCTGAATTTTACTAACATCAAGCAAAGAATAGACATGTTAATATTGAACATACTTAGCTCTAAAAATGAATGCCCAAAGTTATCTAAAGAATGCGATTAAATCCAAAGCCAAACTGCACCTATATGATAGCATGGACATGACTAACCACGCTAATATATCGTGTACATGGTTCTCATGTTTCGATGGACATGATATCGTGGATATGGCTGTCTATTCTAATTCTGTATGGATGTCCTCGTTAATATATCAATGATCCTATCCCATTCTCTTCTCTTGAGTAGGACCCAAGCTAAAACCAATTCAATGCACAAACTGTGATGTTGGAGATGATAAAGAAACTCCACATACGGTACGCTTTTTGTTGTTCAGTCATCTACCATATATGACAACACTATCATTCCTCAACCAAATACCAAAAACCATAAGAAAAAAATCATAGATTTTATGAAATTAATACTACTAAGATATTACCATACATTCGTTAATATTACCATTCATTCGTTAATATTCATCATCTACTATGAGCACACACTACCATCTGTATCCCTTATCCATACATTGCTGTTCACAATACACAAATCCATTGTATACAAGTGTCATCTGTATCCCTTATCCATACATGGTCATCCACAGTTCACAAATCCATTGAATTTAAATGTCATCCATATCACATCATACATAACGTATCATCCATAAAGTCTAGTGGTATCATGTACTTGAATTTATGAAACGACTACAGAAAAATTGAAACTGTATATCATCGACATGTTTTTCTGGGTTTCGTCGGATTTGAAAAATAAAGAGAAGAAGAAACAAAATTTTTTTGAAGAAAATAGATTAGGCTGAGAGTAATTGGATAAGTTTAAAGACAAATTAGAAGGCTAAGTTTAGTTAGGGGTTACAATGGACTTTAGCCATTAAAAATGTATACCTTCTCCAATAAGTGTCTTTAGTGTTATATGTTTCTAATAAAATGTTTATAGGTGTAAAAATCTCTTAAG